TAGGTTCAGAAGTGCTTTTCAAATCATAGGTTAAAATAACTTATTTTAAGAGAAGCAAAAGTAAAAATTGATTTTGCAGACACTGAAACACAGATTATAAGATAAAACAAGCTCATAATTTGTTTCTAAAAGCTTATGCAAACGCCATCTTAAGAAGCTGATCTTTAATTGACAAATCGGACTTATTAACTCGAGACGAAAAAATTGTAGTTTATTTATTGTATTTCTAAAATTGTAGTTTATTTATTGTATTTCTAAAATTGTAGTTTATTTATTGTATTTCTAATACAATTTGACTTCCATTTTCTTTTTTAAAGGATGACGGTTACTGATTCTCCATTTCCCTTCTGAATGATTCGGAGATAACTTCCACTGAAATAGGATTTTAAAAGGTTATTAAACTAGTTTTTTTATGTCGCTAAATTGGAATTTTTTTATGCAATCTAAATCTTAGAGTGCGTTTGGATGAAGGGATTTGGACGGGGATTTGATTCGGGAAAGGGACTTGAAATGACTCTTATTTGGAATCATTTAAAATCCCTAAATCTCTCAATCCAAACAAGACCGAGGGATTTGTTATTATGGATTTGAAATCCCTCCTCCAATCCTTCCATCCAAATGCACCCTTATAGAATTCAAAATATAACAACTGTATTTTATTCGTTAGCTTTTGAATGCAACTTGAATCATACCAATCAAATTAATTGAATCATACCAATCGAATTAATATGATAGAGATATGCAAAGAAAACCTGCAATCTAATATTGTAAATAAATAAATTATCAAACGTGACAGAATTCATTTCTATTATTTTTTTTTGTAATAAAGAAATCCACAGTCGTCTATTATATTTTTTTTGGTAATAAACAAGTTCGGAAATACCGACCTTTTCACTGCTCCGACAACGGCGAACTGCACACTATATATATATATATATATATATACTCGGATTCGTTTACAGTTCTCAAAGAAGCACATTTAGTATGCTTCGATTTCTCTGCTATAACCATGTGCTTCTGCAATTTAGTGTTTTCGTCCGATCACGTTTATCTGAACTTCTAGTGAAAAAAACAATCTTATTCAGTTGTTGTTTTCAGAGTGTTGTCCATTTAAATTTTTGTTTGTTTGGCACCCAAATGGTTTCGAATTTTCAGTTTACCTTTTCTTTTTTGAGTAAATGATTGAGAACTGGCTGAATTACTGTTTTGATCAGTGTGATGTGGGCGTTGATTTGTTTCTTTTTCTCTTTGTCATTCGACGCAAATTGTTCGACAACTTTTTGACGCGCACGATCCGAGACATTTTTTTGTTCCAAATTAGTAATGTTTGGCTATGTAGCACGGACATGTGAATGCGGCATGGCGAAACAGGGGAACTCCATTTTCCAAAAATCTGGTAAACGTGTAAATAATTAAACATAGGGGTACATTCATAATTTAAAAAAAATATATTATAATGTTTAGCCAATATATATTGTCAATTACATACAAATTATATATAGTTTACAAGTTTCAATTTGAATTATCATTCCAAAAATTACATTCGGGGCATATAAATTTATTTTAGTATGGAATTAGCATCTCAAAAAATATTAGAACACCACTAGAAGTGAAAAAGAGATATAAGATATAAGATTTTTTTAAGCATATGCAATTCCGAGTTTTTATTTAAAATGGGTTTTGGATATTTTTTCTATGCAAACGCGTTTCCGACCCAGTTTCTCATCATTACCAGAACATCCCTGAAACTTTTAAATATTTACGGAAACGGCCCCAAAACGTTTCCAACAAGTGTCATGGAGTTTTGAAGGGGCATGCAACAAAAATACACAATTTCGATGAACAATCCATCGGAAGTTTTGCTATCGGGATAATGTGCAACATTGATAACATTTTGAATGGGGACATGCATTCACATTTAAAAAAAATGAGGTGGTAAAGTGCAAAAATTAGAAATTTATAGGGGTGATGTGCAATTTTACCCATTTTTTTTTATATAAATTAGGACAAAATGCATTTCGCACCTTAGAAATTTTTAGTTTTTGCATTTCGCACGGAATTCCATTTTTTCATCATTTTCAAGGGCATTTGAGTCATTTCATTATTCCCATCAAAATCCTAATATCCTCATCTTTTCTAATAGATGAAAAACACAACCCATTTACTAATTTCAGGAAAAATAAATTAGGGTTTATTTTTTCTCCCAAAACGAATTGTGCCTATTGAGGTTTCAAAATTGCGAGAATCTTCAATTTCTTCCTCAGTTAACAGCTGTTACGGTGATGCGTCTCTCAAATGACACAAATGTCCTTCAATTGGACAGATTCATGGCAATTCCGATGAAAAATACTCCAAAAATTGTAATTTGGGGCAAACTGCAACTGCAACAAAATTTTGAAGAGGAAGAATCTCCTTTTCGAATTTGTAGAGGAAAGTGCGAAATTTGAAATTTTATAGGGGTGCATTTTGTCCTATAAATTAATAGAGATTTGAGAAATGTTGGGCTATGGCCCCCTTGGCGTTATGCCGGCTTCACCACTGGGAATTCAATGTGAGATGAATCTTCAAAGGAAAGGTGTGTTGCTACATAAGAGTGTGATTATTATAGGTTCGATTCCCGCCTTTCATTATCTTGATATGCTATTAATATCGTGTTCCTTTGATTGCAAGTCGATTTCTATACACTACAGCTGCAGCAGATTCGACCCAACTGTATGTCGAAACAGATTTTGTGTCCGAAATAATGGCTTTGGTATCTGAACTGTGCTGCCAAGCAATTCTACGGCTTTGGACAGCTTATCAAAATCGAAGCAACTCATTGTTATATGTCGTATTTTTTAGCGATTTATATTGGCCATCAAATGATATAAAAGTATACACAACCGAATTTTAAATGGGTAATTGACACTTTCTACTCTCGAATTATATGAGTTTGACATTTTGCACCATTAATTGCACCCTCCAATTACAAATTCCTTTGCAATTTACACCCTCCATCACTTTTTGGCCGGAAAAGAGACGGGAAACTGGTTTTGTAAGATTTGAAGAAGGGCAGATTTGTCATCCTCTATTTCTTAGAAAGTCACAAACGTTCACGCCTATTTTCTTCATTTTGCATCTTTTCATACCCCCCAATAATTCGATTATTTTACATATAGAGAGAAATCTAATTTTTTCAAGGGTTTTTTTTCGGCAGAGATTTTCAAAAGCATCATCAGAAAAAATAGAATGGAGTTTTTTGAAACGAAAAAGAAATGCACTTTATCATTTAGACGAAAAAAAGACTATGATTCTGAAGAACTCAACGGGCCCTTTCCCATTAGAATCAGACAAACAAATAAGGGAATCCGTTGAGTTCCTACACTTACATGTCTACAACTGAATTCACTCGATTACTAATTACTATAAAGATGAACCTAATCCGGAATATAAACAATAAAAGAAAATACCTAGTAAACCGATCAAAAGAATACCAGCTACGGTACCTATTCTCCAAAGATGATTCTTCCAGTAGTATCGGCCATTTACTCTACTTCCCTCCAATTTCATCAAGTGGACATGCTAGAGACATAAACATTCATGGGTACTTATAAGATCACAAAAATGGGAGAAAAAAAGGTGCAAAATGAAGAAAAGAATTGCGAACGTTTTTCACTTTCTGAGAAATAGAGAAAGACAAATCCGCCCTTTTTTAAATCTCACAAAACCGGTTGCCCTTCGCTTTTCCGGCCAAAAGGTGATGGAGGGTGCAAAGTGCTAATGAATTTGTAATTAGAGGGAGCAAACTGCTATTATTTGAATTTAAGGATGCAAAATACCAAACTCGTGCAATTTAAGGGTGCAAATTGACAATTACCCAATTTTAAACTATAGGCAGTATAGATACTATCATACTATAGTAGAAACAAATAGTTGATTTTTTTTTTCGACCACACGAATGTGCAGCAAATATTTAAAATATACATATCAAAGCTTAATAAATTTTCTTATCCAAAAAAAAAAAAAACAGTTTAATCATTTGTATATATTAAAGTGGTTCCCCCCTATCATTTATTCATGAAATCGCTGGCCCATAATTTCACGTGCTAGGGAGTTGGGCGCTATATACCGAGTTAAAAGTTCTCTTTACTAGACATCTTGCAATTGCCAGATGTACAGTTATTAATTATATATATAATATAATATTTATTGTTGCACTCGGTGTATAAAAATGGGTAGCGATTTTGCAATGAAAATACTAAGTAATTAGCTGAGACGAATAAATTCTTCTCTTAAGACGATATTGCACTACTGCTAAGGGGCTTATGGTGGTTTTTAGCAATTGTCGCCCACGACGAATATTACTTTGTGTCTCAAACTCGCGAATGGAATACGTAAGAAATATGCTACAAATAATACTTTAGGACTAAGAAAGAAGATTATTCGAAATGTTATTTCAAATTGGAATTGTATGATTGTAACAAAAGAACACAACCCTATCGGCTAAAACTCAAAATATGATCAACACTGAAAATCTCGAGTACACGGTCTTTTGACAGACACACCCAAACATTTAACATTTTGGCATATACACCTCCATCCATTTTTCCGTTAGTAGGCCGTTAGTTTTTTATGACAAATACACATGTAACTTTGGACATAATATAGTAATTTGCATCTACCTCCTCTAAATTTGGTATTTTAGCAATTACAACTTAAAAATAAATTATTATTAATATTAGTATTATTATTATTTCGATTATGCAGTCCTTTCTGCATCCAATTTAACTCTTGGTTAATGTCTATTATTTTTTGACGCACAAATTTTATATTCCAATTAATCAAAATTATATTTCTTTTAACCGACCAATATTATATTTACATATACGGCATGCGATTGTTTTGTGGATGCAATAACAAG